AAAAAAAAAAAAACCAACAAGCAAAACAAAACAAAAAAAAACCTATCAAACTTGGGCCAGCCAGATAGCTCAGTGAACTAAAGTGCCTGCTTAGGCAGACCCAGGGACTAGGGTTCCATCCCCAGCATGCCGTGCTGACCCCGCCCCTGAATGAGACGGCATGGTGGCACATGCCTGTAGTTCTAGTGCTTGGGAGGCTGAAAACAGGAGGATCGCTACCAGTTCAATCTGTGTAGTAAGACCCTGCAGACCTGGTACTAAATACGTAAAAAAAAGAAAAAAGAAAAAAAAAAAAGAAACTATCAAACTATTTGCAAGAGAAGTATAATATCTTACATTCCTACCAGCAAGGTGAGAGGCTATCTGCATCTTTGCTGACACTAGATATTGTCCCCATTTTCCTTTTTGGTTGTTGTCACACATCTGTGACAATGGTGGACACCACCTGCATTAATCTGTTGCTGTTACAACCTCCTCTGTGAAATTTCTTGCCTAAACCTTGGTTCCTTTTATAACTGCATGGTACTTTTTTTTTTTTTTCCCAGGGATTGAACTCAGGCCCTTGCGCTTGCCAAAGGAGTGCTTATTCCACTGAGCCATGTTCCCAGCCCCGGTACATGTTGTTTGTGTTTGTTTGTTGCAGTGTTGAAGACTGAACCCAAAGCAACAAACACACTGAGCTCTATCCCCAGACTCTTCTAATTTTCTATTTGAACACAGGGTCTCCATAAATTGTCCACGCTGGCTAAAATCCACTCCTGCCTCAGCCTTCCTGAATGCTGAGGTTACAGGTGCGTGCCACCACACCTAGCTAAATTTTCATTCTAATGAAGTCCAATTTATTGTTTTTCTTTTTGGATTGAGCGTATGGCGATGTACCTAAGAAATCTTCGCCATGCCCTAGGCCCCGAAGATTTTTGTCTTACGGGTTCACCTAAAAGTTACATAGCTTCACATTTTACATTTTAATCTCTAGTCCATTTTGAGTTAGTGTTGTATCAGGCCTGGCACTCTGATCAAGGCTTCTTTTTGGCCTGTGGTCACACAGTGGCTCCCGTCTCCCAGGCTGATAGAGCCACCCTTTTCTGACACCTGATTCCAGCATGCACCCCCTCTCTCTCCACAGGTCCTAACTACCTGTCCTTTGATTGCCCACCTGCACCAGCTTGGTTGGGTCCTCTCTTCAGCACCCCTGGAAGTCCACCAGGCTACACACACACCTTGCAGAACCCACTACCACCAGCAGAAGCAGCCACTGGACAGACCAAGGCGGTCTGCCCAGGGCAGTATCCGCAGAAGGCCAGCCTGGGGGATATGGGGTGGTGATACAGGGCCCTGGGCTGGACACAGCCCCTGGCATCCTGCATTCCTGGGTGTACAAATAGTATCTGCCGATCCATACAGGCCTCACCCTTCGACACAGGATCTGGAATGCAGGTGAGACTAAGGGCTCCAATTGAGTTGCCCTGAAGGAAAGGAAGGCAAAGGCATTTCCTGACCTGGCAGAGTGAGCCTCCCCCGTCCTGGCCTGCCCCAGTGGCCGGCGGACATACACCTGCTCGGCTCAGTGGAGCGCCCCAGCTGGGGAGCAGTGCCGCAGGGTAGGGAACAGGCAAGAAGAGTCCAGGGCCCGCCCCTGGGCCCCTGGTCAAGCCCCTTCCTCCCAGTCCCCCAGTCCGAGTGACTTCTGGCTCCTGGACAGGAGCGGCCCCCACCTGCTAGAGGCACACCTGCGCAGGGGTGCTCCCATCATCCGCGTACACGCGAGGGTCTGCTCCGAGCTTCAGCAACGCTTCCACGGCTTCCAGATGGCCCGCAAAGGCTGCCCGGTACAGCGGCGTCCGACCGAAGGCGCCCTAGGGGAGCGGTTCCCTGAGCCATGTCCCAGCCGCGGGGAGCAGGCTGCCTCGCCCTGGCGCGTCGCCGGCCCGCGGCGCCCACCTTGCTGTTGGGGCTGGCGCCCAGCTCGGCCAGCAGCTGGATGGCCTGGGTCTGCCCGCCCGCAGCCGCCTCGGACAGCGGCGTGTTCCCGTGGCCGTCCTCACACTCCACCAAGGCCACGCGCCGCTGCAGTCTGCGCGAGCGGCCCTCCTCGTCGTGGCCCACGCCGTCCCGGGTGAGCCGCTGCTCCACCTGCGCGGCCAGCGAGCTGAGTCCCGCCCCGCCGGGCCCGCCCAACCCGTGCTGGCCGCGGCCGCTGACCTCGTCCAGGACCGCCCGGATCTCCGCCAGGTCCCCGTCGAAGGCCGCGTCCAGGAGGCGGCGGCGGCGCCGCAGCTCCTCCAGCCGCTCGCGCTGCGCTGCCTCCTCCTTCTCGCGCCGCCGGCGGGCCATCTCCTGCTCCTGGCGCACTAAGGCCAGGTAGGCCTGAGAAATATGGCCCGAGGTCACTGTCCGGCATCCTGGGGTTAAGTCGGCAGCCTGAGGTCACTGCCACCCCACCCCACCCCAGCGCATCCCGAGCCGCCACTCCCCTCGGGCCTGTGGCTCCCCCAGCTCACCTCCCTCTGCAGCTTCTCCATTTGTTCCACATACTCCTGGCGCTTAACTCGACGGCGAGCCAGTTCCTTCCTGGCCAGGTGCTGCCGGAAGGCGCACTGAATGAGAGTGGCTGCTCGGTCCTCTACGCTCGGCCCTGGAGTGGGGAGAGGTCTCCCATGGACCCCGGTACTGCCCTCCAAACCACCATCCCCACAGCCGCCGGGCCTAGCCGTGCCAGGTGAACCCCCAGCTCCAGGTTAATCCAGTTGCGAGCCCTGCAAATCCCCCAAACTGCTCTCAAAATCCATGACCCTTGAGCTAAAATAATCCACCAACAGAGACCAAAGAAGGAGATTCTAGGGCTGGGAACCGAGAGAGGAGAAAAAAATCTAGGCCTTGATAGGAAGTTTTCCACCTCCCAGGACTCCACTAACCTCACAGTTTGAAAAGACAGACCCTGAAAAGGCTGGTAGGAAACACACTAGTAACAGTTAGAACCAAGGGGGCTTTGCATTAGCGCTATTAGGGATGTAATCCCTGGTATCCACAATTTACAGGAGGAGAGGCTCAATTGGGCTCATGGTCTCAGGGGATTTGGGGCACAGCCAAGACGGGAATATCACCGCAGAAGGGGGTGGCCGAGCAAAGCTGCTTAGTTATATAGGCCTGGAAGCAGAGCAGGGGGACAGTGCCAGGGGGAAGGGATGGGAGACCAGATGTCATACCTAAGGTCACACCGCCATGGCTCACCCAGACACGACCAGTGTACTTTACTAATCAGCTAGGCATTTCTTAATCCAATGAAGTTGGTGTGTCCAGATGAAAGGTCACAGTCTAGAAGTGGTAAGTGCCAATTAAAACTCAGACTTAACGTTTAGCGTCAAGAAAAGGAGACAGCGCCACGCCCATTGTTCAAAGGTCTGAGCAGGCCAAAGTGGGATCTGGTTGATTCGTTCACTGGACAAGATGGCCCGACTCCCCCACAAAGCCAGATAAGCCTAAGTGCCCACAGTGCAAGAAAGATGTCTCCGCAAAAATGAGGGCTATATCTGCTGGCAAGTGAAACTGACCAGAGTGACAGAAAGAGCCAAAAGAGGGCAGGAGAAGGAAGAATGTCCCACAGAGAGCAAGTCAGGGCACTGGAAAGAATAGACCAAGGAACCCTTTGGGGACACGGAAATAGGCCTAGTTTCAGGGAAGGGGGACTTCTGAGGTCCAGGAGGATCCCAGAACCTCGTGCGGATATGACTGTGTCCCATCCTGCAGTGGGAGGACACTCCCTGCAGCCCTGTCCCGCACAGTCGTTGTGAGCCACTGGAACCTCAGAGCCTGTCAGAGTGACAGACTGATGTATCATATCAATAACTGAGAAAAAGTATATAGCCCTCTCTAGAGAAATAGAAAAGGCACTTGACGAATAAGCAACTTTTTTTTTATTTCTGTTTTTAAAAGTCTTTGGAGATATAACTCAGTGGCACAGCACCTGCCTGGCAAACAAAGGTCTTGAGTTCAATTCTTGGTACCAAAACAAAACAGAATCTTCAGAAACTAGGAATGAAAGCCACCTTCCTTAATTTGATAGAGGGTCGACACCAAAATCTTTGACAAATCTGACACTTAATGGTGAAAAGTTAAAAGTGTTGTTTTTAGAATTAATAATGAGGCAAAATGCTCCTTGTTACTTTAGCCTATGTATTATGCCTATTTCTTTTAAACAATATTTTAGCAAGTCCTGGCCAATGTAATACAAAGGACAAATGAGGAGAAAAAGGAGGATGAAGAGGAAAGAAATTTTGTTTGGAAATCATAATTAAGCACATAAAAATCTGAAAGAGCTGGCACACACACCTGAAATCCCAGGCTAAAGGTGGGGCAGAATTACCTCAAATTTGAAGATAGCCTGGGTAACATAGTAAGACCCTGGTTAAAATGGGGGAAATCTGCTCATAAATTATTAGATATAATAAGCAAGCCTAGGAAGGTTTTTGAATATAACCCCAGTAAACACAAATAGATTGTATAGTGCTATAAAGCAACAACTTTTTTTTTTTTTTAAACTGAGCTAGGAATTAAATTTTAGGATGAAGAGAACAACCTTGGAGAGGGGGTGCTTCCACTGGTCCAGGACAGAAGCTAGGACATCTGTGTGGGAAGAGGCCTGTGTGAGGCCAACAGACTCGTGAGCCTTGAGGCCCCAGCCCTGGCCCAGCCCCAGACATTCATGCTGCCAGGAGATGCCCTGCTTGTTCACTTTCTCCACTGTTCTCTTAGAGCTCTGAAGGCGGCTGTGTCTAGCTCCTCCCACCAACAGTGTCTGAGCTGGAGTGTGCCACACAGCACAGCGCAAGGCCTTCCACGGAGGCCAAGGCGCAAGACGCTGCAGTCTCCTTGACAATAGAATGGAGTAAATAAATCCTTATGCAGTGAAGTTTTGCCAGAAGGAAAAGGAAACAGGCACTGGGGAAGAAGCCCCCTCTGCCCTCACTGGCCAGCCCTCTTCCCAGGGATGCTGCACAGGCCACGTGTAGAACGTACCTGCCCTTCCTCGGCCTCTCCACCTCTCCTCCCTCCCTTGATGTATCCCAGTCAAGAACTGCCACTGAGGCCTTTAGGGCTCTAAGATACCAGTGATACTTCTGGGACCCCATGGCCTGGCACCTCCTAGCACATCCTGTGCAAGAGGAAAGAGAAGTCACTATGGCCTTAGCTACTCCATTCTAATCAAGGCCTAGGTCATTTATAGCTCTTCTCCGTGCCATGCTGGACCTTTAATCTCTCTCTCTCTCTCTCTCTCTCTCTCTCTCTCTCTCTCTCTCTCTCTCTCTCTGGCCGGCTCAGCCTGCTCTGGGGGCAGGGCTGGTGCCATGTGGTGCAGGTCCCTGCCCTCTGTGCCTAAGAGCTTTAATCTTTGATCGGGAGTGCCCTGAGCCATGAGGGGAGCTCTGAACCCCGCATTTTGTTGTGTACTCAGAGACCTGGAGAGGAATGCATTGGCGTCCGCAGAGATGCACCTAGACATCAACTTGATTGGCTTGAGAGGTGTCTAGCAGCTTAGCAAAGTGCAGTTCTGGGGGGGTGTGGGTGACCTTGGGGCATGACCTTGGGGACTTTACCTGATCTTTGCATAAAATTCAAAGGTCACAGAAAAAAAGCCTGGTGAATTTTAAAAATCAATATGGGAAGGTACAGTGGCACATGCCCTTTGGTTCCAGCTACTTGGAACACTGAGTCAAGAAAAATGCTGAGGGCTGGGGAGATAGCTCCATGATTTAAGGCGCCTGCCGGGTATGCACAAGGACCTGGGTTTGGTCCCTGGTACTGTACATCATGCCAGCCCTGGAACCCGTGGCACACCGTGCCAGACACTCAAACTGGGTGTGGTGGCACATGCCAATGATCCCAGCACTGGGGAAGTTGAGATAGGAGGATCACTATGAGTACAAGCTACATAGCTGTATTTATTTCTTTCTTGTGCCAAATAAATAAATAAAATATTAAAAAATATTTAAAAAATAAGAAATGAAATGAAATAAACAACAACAAAATCCCCAAAATTCAGGCCAGCCTGAACTATAGTGAGACTGTATCTTTAAAAAAAGAAAGAAAGAAAAGAATGTACACCTTATGATTGATGGACCATAGAATATGTGAAGCAGTCAGATGTGGTATGCACCTACAATCCCAGCACTCAAAAGGCCAAGGCAGGAGGATGGCCACAGGAGTGAGGTCAGCCTGGGCTACATAGTGAGTTCAAAGTCAGCTTCCACTGTGGGACCCTTTAGCCTTCTGGTGTTGACTGACCAGTGTTCTGTGGCAGACACGTCTGCCTCCATACAGACTTCAACAGAATACTGCAGTGAATTCCAGACCTTAGACTAAATCTTACAGTCACCAGTATGCAGATGTGATCCACTGTGTTCAGCCTCCCATGAGCTGGGATTACAGGAGCATGCCACCATGCCCAGTCTCAATCCCGTCTGAGCATGCCCGGGGCAGGCGGGGCCAGCACAGCAGGCTGGGGAATCAAACAACCAGCCCCTGCATCTGCCTAAGCAGGTGCTTTAATCCACTGAGCTTTTTTTTTTTGCGGTACTGGGGATTGAACTCAGGACCTTGCGCTTGCCAGCCAAACGCCTATTCTACTGAGCTATCTCCCCAGCCCTCTACTGAGCTATTTGGCCGGCCCTGCCAAAATTGTAATTTCTTATACATTGGGATGTTTGTTTGTTTGTTTGTTTGTTTTTGTGGAACCAAGGATTGAACTCAGGCCCTTGCACTTGCCAGGCAAACATTCTTATACATTTGTATCTCTTGTGTTATATGTTTCTCTAGTAAAACCGTGACTGATACAATATATAAATAAACAGAGGGGTTAACAAACCCACTAGACCAAACAGACTCATACAATACTCCTCACAGGTAGCATCATACACTCTTCTCAAATACAAGTGGAAGACTGGGCGTGGTGGTGCGTGCCTGTAATCCCAGCGCTTGGGAGGCTGAAAGCAGGAGGATCACTACAAGTCCAACCTGTGTATTGAGACACAGTAGACTCTGTACTAAATATATTAAGAAAGAAAGAAAGAAGAAAAAGAAAGAAAGAAAGAAAGAAAGAAAGAAAGAAAGAAAGAAAGAAAGAAAGAAA